GAGTCAGCGAGAATATAACGGAATTGAACCGTAGGTCTGTTCGTTTTCGCTGCACCGCTGAACTAGTGCAATAAGTTGAAGCGAGACAAGTATATGTTTTCTCACTTCAACTTATTGCACTAGTTCAGCGGTGAAGCGAAAACGAACAGACCTCGTGTCATTCGCCGGCTCGAAACGTAATGAAAACATTCGAAAAAGCATGTGACGCGCGAAAGTAAGTTTGACCGCTTTGAAGATCCGGAATGTGTTATGGAAATGTTGGTTGTTTTGATCGCGCTCGAATGTTGGCGCGATTAACGGGATGACGCCGCGCTTTTCGCCCATTGCCTCGGCACTCTCGAGGGTCGCGTACTATTACCTCGAGCGAGTACGCGTATCGGTGCGTTATAATCACAATTCCCGCCAGTTAATAAAAATATTTTTTATTCACCTTTCGAAATATAGTTTTAAAGTTTCGGGAAGAAATATTTCTTCCCCATTTTTCCGCGGAAATTTTTTTATTTCTTATCTTCCTTACGGAAGAAAAGTAAATGCGGCGGGCTTTAATCGAACACACGCGTGAATTTTTCCAAACCTTTTCGTACTTTTGGGACAGGAGCCGCGTAAAAATGGAGAAGAAACAGTTTTTCCGAAACTTTAAAACTATGTTTGGAAATAAATTTCAATTAAGTTCTCGTTGGAGTCGGGTTAATACACGTTTCTCCGATCGAATTATACCTAGTACGAGTGTCAATATCATAAGTCAGTGTCCGGGATTCTACGATGGATTAGCCAAGTTTTAGGATGCTGAATCGAGAAGCTAAGACGGAAGATACTGGGAGACAAGTAGCGATACGTCATATATTTTCAGATATATAAAATGATTTATTATACAAGTAATTTCTCTATTTTAGTAGACGTATGACGTATTATCGAAAATAAAGAAGATACTCGAAATTTAAGCCGGGACTTATACATTAGTTATCATTAGATAAATAATTATAGTTTCGTAACCGCTATCTTTGCCCTTACAACTGTTTTCTTCCCGCCCTTTTTGAAATCTTTAAATCTTATCGAAACTTCTAACGACAATGAAAAAAATAATAATAAAGAACAGATTAAACAAAATAAAGAAAATTTAATCTTATCACAAATTGAAATAAAAAAATTACAATTAAGATTAAAACTTTAAGTTAAAATGTATAGAATTAAAATAGAAAGAAAGTTTTAACCCGGGTATTCCTAACATATCTTATAAGAACAATAGGAATCGTGATATGTAAAATCGTTTTGCTCAACGTCCAGAAATTCGTCCGCATTAGTCAAACACGTAACAATGAGCTACATTGTATTCGCGACAGGTGCGTGCGTGCATGCCAATCGGCGATTTTATCGTGGCCGAAGCACTTTTCCACACGTCACCTAAGGTTATTGTTCTCGCCCGCGAAATGTACCACCGTCCAAGGAAAGAAGATGGACTGCGGATTACGTAACACGGCCATACGTCGTATTGGTGCGTAAGCTGGCGAACGCCGTGAGCATCGGCAAAACGATATTGTTTCGCAAAAACGCATCGCACCACGCCGCGTAAAAGTATGACACGCTTTTGAGCACACGCCCTACAGTGACAACGCCCGACTTTTTCCGAGAAGACTTCTTATCGGTTATGCTTGAACTATTTCGAGTAATATTCCGTATTTGTTACTGGGTCAAATTTATTTCGTTCAGACATATTTTTGTTTTTCAATGAAACGTAAAACACATAATTACTACTTTCGGATGCAAATAGTCAACATGACTTTAAGCCGAATTTGAAATTAGCATTTACATGCAAATTAAAAAAATAAAGTAATTCTTAAGAACGATTTTTGAAAGTGAAACTATGTTCTAAAGAATATCTTTTCAACCTTTGCTGCACATGCATACACACATCAATTGCTACATCGAAGTCCAACGGATATCATTTAAACAATAATTATCTGTCACAAAATTCCCTCAATCAGAGAATCATTAATCGAAAGCGGTCACGCGATCACTCTCTCCAAGAGTATATAATGATTATCGAAACCGTAATCGACCTTATGAGTAAATGATCGGTGTAATCAATTTGAGGTTGCAGAATGAATATTGAACCAAGTTAGGTTTATTATTTGATTTGTATTATGCAAAAATGATGGTGTCTTTTATAACTTACAATTGAACGGAAGAACCATGGCCTACTCGATTAAATTTGCTATCGAGTTCTCAGCTCGATCATTGTTCTTCAATTATTTGCATTTTTAACGATGGATTCTCTTTATATAATAAGAAAGGAAAGTGTAAGGCCGTTAACGTCTTAAATAGGCGTGTTTAACGCCTGGTAAATGTCGATATTTTCGTTTCATGACGAAATATGAATTCATTTAGTATCGTACATTTAGTACCGTAAGTTTACGATACGATACTTTGAATACGTTATCATCACAATTCATGCATCGATAAAATATAAGTATTATAGTCATGTGGCAATTTTTATTTCCAAATTATGTTGTTACCTTACACATACGACTCGATGCCATATCAGTGCAGCTGCGTTAAATTCCTCGTAACTATTGTTGCAAAATACCGTAAAATATTTTCAATACAAATGAAGACTCACCAACACCAAGTACACGTTGATTGTTCATTGCCGATTCTACTATCTCCGAAATATAAAGGTCGTTCTAGAATAGCGTAAAATATGCAATAAGACGTAAGCAAGAAGTTAATTGGCCAACCACAGTCGATTATTCTTGGAGGTAAGGATTCAATTGGTCAATTAGCATACTGCTTACGTCTTACCGCATACGTTACGTTATTGTAGAACGCCTTAATTATCATACGTGCTTCGTTGTTCAGATTGCAGCAGTAGTCTCATCGCATGAAAACACTTTTTGTCAACCTGTATGAAACATTTTTTTAGTAAACGTCTCTATCTCGATAATGGAATATTCACCTTAATGTGTAAAATGATTTAATTTTATACAACAAAGTTATATATTACTTCTTGTATTATGTATTTGTTATTTCTTTCGTTGTGAAATGTGTAACAGGATAAAATATCTTTTTTTAACGTACGTGAGTACGTTAAATTAGAGGAATTATTAACATATTATTATGAGAGCTATATTAATACGATAAAACTGAGTGTTAATTTGTGCAAAATTCTAACATTCGACATATCAGCTAAAAATCGAATTTTCACGATATTTAACGAACCAGCTCTATAAAGACAAGTCTGCTTTAATAACGAGAGACCACTTGTGCAAATATGACTTGTCAGAATCTTTCGTATATAGTCCTTCATAATTATTTTATCTCACGTGTTATGATATTGAATGGTTGACACAGCTTTGAGAATAAAAGCAATACAAGTAGCTTGTATACGTATCTCATTTTCAATGTTAAATCCAACTACTTGATTCTCAATCCATAATCCAAATGTAATATATATTTTTCATATGAACAAGGTAAATCAATTTAAAATTCTGTCAAGATTCTGTCTAACTTGAAATGTAGGATACAGACGAAAATATGCATACGAAGTAGAAAGTGCGTTTCCGCGAGAACCGAACTTTTACCCTTTTAATGACGAGCAAAAGTATCATACGAAGAATACCGAGCCAATTTGACGAATTTGCTAAGGTTTGGGAGAAAGCTCATAAAAACCAAATTAAAAATGATATTTACAAAATTCAAAAAACAGCATATTACGAAATAAATAAAGAATAAAGTAATGCCAATTGTATTTCAATATTTGTTGAAAATCATACGCATACACTCGCAATGCGAATAGTAAGACGCCCTCGGATACGCGATGATATATCGTCGTTGGCACTTTTCGCAAGTGTTGCGAACGACGATATATCGTCGTTCGGCACTAAAAGGATTAATAATGAATACTCACGTACGTTAAAAAAAGATATTTTATCCTGTTACACATTTCACAACGAAATCAAAGCATAATTATTAGTAAAACTACGTGACATGATTATATATGGCATTAGATTTATATTAAAATTATATATAGAGATTATATTTACCTAAGCGAGTTGAATCAATCTCGACACGAAAACGATCGTAACGGTCATTGCACGTACAAAAGTTTCAATCACAACCGTAAGGTTGCAAGTTTCACACAATTAAATGGAACAATGCAAAAAAATTCATGATCGTAAGGCCGTAATCAAAATCGTATAATTTCCATCACATTGGAATTTTACGGTTATCTTATCAATAAGTCAACCAAGCAGTTCCATATTGTTGACCAAACAAAAATCGGTAGAAAGAGGGTTCCATGTCCCACGTGATGACAATATTACTAGGGCAGTATTCATAATCAGATTTTATATTTAAGATCGTTCCAAATTCATCTTCTGATGCTACACAGATCGTTTTTATCGGCTACAAAGCATCTGAAGATGAATTTAAGACGATCTGAAATATAAGATCTAACTATGAGTGCCGTCCTAAGAATGGATATCAGATTTTATGATTACGGCCTTATAATTAGGACTAAAACTTTTCACGTGTAAAGTTCCAACTTCGAAACATCTCCGTAGCGTCCGCCATTACATATGAAAAGACGCATGCGCAATGTCAATCGAGAACTTGCTTCTGCCGTGTTTTCATTATTACGTTAGCGACATTTATGGTCTGTTCTTTTTAACTGCACTGCTGAACTGATGAAGTAAGTTAGAACGAGACAAAATATACTTGTCTCACTCTAACTTATTGTATCAGTTCAGCAGTGCAGCTAAAAAGAACAGAATGCTAGTTGCGATTTTAACCTCTCATAACCAATAAGAAGAAAAAATTAATATAATGTTTTTTTTTTATTATATCTACTAATTTCATATTTCAAGTGCAAGAAATACAATAAATTGTAGCCACAAAGAAATATTAATTCACGACTAGTTACCCGATCGAGATCCTAATTCTGTTTAGGGACAAATTTAGTTCTATTTTCTTCTACAGTATTCAAATCTAAAGCGATAGCCTGATTGGTTCTTCACGGAGTAGGTGATATAAGGTGCTGTGCGCGATCTGGTGTGTCATCCGTACAAATTTTCTTTTCTCTCTTTCCCAGTCTTTCTAAAATATCGTTGGAAAATGTCAGCGTGGAGGCAAGCAGGATTAAAGTAAGAAAATCATCACATTTCTTATTTATGTATTTTCTTTCATATATGTCGCGCAGATAACAATTTTCCGTCAAAGTCATTATGTAACCTACTTTTCATATGAATGTTGAGTGAACAAAATTTGGTTTTATCATCATATATATATGTATAAAAAATATTTTATATATCAAGAATATATCGAGGATATGTATGTACAAATATATTTTTCTTTCGTTACAGCTATATCAACTATTCTCAGATCGCAGCTAGGTTAGTTAGGCAAGCCTTGAAAGCTGATTTGAGGGTAGAAGCACTTAAACGCGATGAAGCAAATGTGAGGTTCACTCAGTGGAAAGATGGAAAACCTATCAGTACGTATAATTTGAAGTTTATCGTTCAAAAGTTAACGTTAATAAAATAGAATATTGCCATCAAGACTCTTGTTACTTAAGTTCTTCGCTGTGGTTATCTGGATTGATTAAATCAGAAGTGAGAAAATGGTTAAAAATTTTGTCAAAATATATTGTAAAAAAGATATATGCGTAAAATGATGTTTGTTTTGATTCTATTTGAGCAAGAAAAATCCCAAGTAAAAAATCTCTACTTCACAAATCTGACTAATCGATTATGTATCATTTTATAAATATATCTTTTTAATATACATATTCTGCAAGAATTTTAAATATGTCTCTTTTTGCTTCTAATGTTATTAGTCAAGATAGCTGCAAAAACAAGGGCCTTAAAGTTTATATTTCTGTCATATTTCCATAACCATTAGTTTAGCATCATTTTGATTGTTGAAAATTTGTTTCACAATATTTATTTTTTTATTACATCTGCGTTACATGTAAAATGTATTTTGTTACAGCTGAAAAGATGTGATCATATTAATTAGTAAGTCTATGATTCGCGCCACACACATGTGTCCTTAAAAATATAACTTTTCATTTTAACATATCCTTAATATGATACTAATACCTTTCAACACTAGCATGGATAACTTATTTGAGAAGATATTTGTTCCTTTGCTATAAACAATTATCGTATGTAGTATGTACAATATAGCAAATGACTCCATATTTTGTATCATATATAAAGATATAACAGTCTTTTGATATTAATATCTGTACTCAAGAATATATAGTGTTTTGTCTTTTGAAAATGAAACAAATGTTTTATATTTGGATACATGATATTTTCCTTGTTACTTGTGAACTAAAAGATAACACTGATTGCTTTAATTTCAAATTACAACCATAACAATAATTAAATTTCTTTCTTTTTTAAGCAAATAACACGTTTTCTCATATGTGTTTATTAATAAGCATCATTTTTTAAATTGTAATATATAGTATTGTCTATATATGTATATATATGTGTATATATTCTTTTGTTACAGAAAATGCCTAGATGATTATATCACAGATGGACTCGGAACTCATCCAATATGTACACGTTTACAGCCGTATATGAGCGATGTGTAACGATAGAATAAAAATGTTCGTTATACATCCTTACTATTACCCTTCAAGTTTACTTACGGTTAATTTTTATACCGTCATCTCACAACAGGGTTGTGTGTCTTGCAGTATACTAAAACATAAGAAAACGAATTAGGTAGTTCATAAATGAGAAAAATTATTATTATTTATTGTAGATTAATTCTTGTGCTTACCAATGAATTCTGAAACCAGATCGTTCTCGCTCTCTCCTCGCATAGTCCCGGTAATCTCTTCATTTTCTACCATTGGTAAAAATAATTGTACAAATTCAGTCGAGTACGGAGGCGCTATCGTTTCCAGAACCTTAAATTATAAATATTCATTTCATTAAAATATCGTATTATGACGTATACTGAGGAAAAGACTATTATAATTTACCTCCGTGACAAAATATCTAATCAGAGATACGTCCGTGTCGCTGCGTTGCCAACATTGTTTAATGTAACATACAACGGGTACTACACAACCCCTGCTTAGCAAATTTATCATTCTGTCGATCAACATTTTCTTCATTTCCAACTAGAAGAAAAAATTGTTAAAAATATGTCGATAATTTCTTCAATAATTCAAACAACTCTCGCGAAAGCCGAGTTTCGCAGCCTGATAATATATTTAAAGGGTAGCTACCTGTACAAGTATCTCCAGTTCGTCTTGTTTGCTCTCAAACAATTGCACTAGCAGTCTCAGTACTTTTGGATGTAACAGATGATGGGCGGTTACAACTTCGTCTAATAAAGCAAGATGAAGGGGGCAATGTTCTGTGCACAATTTAAAATAAGAGGGTTCTGTAACAGTGCACTCCACCCATCGTATTAGGCCAACGCCTACAACGGGAAATCTGTAACAAGCAAATTTATTAGTGAAACGTACTTTTTGTTTCTTGATATGGAGGAGACGTTATAAATGAACGTACCGTATAGCGCTATATAGAGTTTGCAGATCTGCTATTAACTCGGTTGATCCTTTATTTACATTGCATATATTATGCACTTTCTCAATTGCCTGAGTAGTCGTTTTTAGGTCATCCTTATTTATTTTACGCGTATTGCCTTTTTTAGGAGCTGTTTCACACACACTCGCCGCATAAGCAAGTAAATATATATACTTCGATTTATGTTCAGGATTAATTTTTACACCAGGTTTAAAAAGCGCGTCAACCAGTAACTCTGAAGAAAAAATACAAAATTGTATCACATATTCTATTTTCTCACGCGTGCACATTGTATTATATTATTACTATGAATAATTTTCTGTTGATTTACCTAAAAATTGAGGGTTACGTAGTAACTCGATAGGAGGTGGTTCTGCGGATGAGTAATTCCTGAAGAGAACAGTGATGTCAGCAGGATTTAAACTGTTTCTCGATAACATGGATGATAGCGCTTGGCATGCTGCAGGACTGCTGGCGGCGCCGTTCAATGCCATGGTTATTGGAGTAACATCGTGTCGATTCTGTTGGGCACACTTGGTGATCTCTTGAGACAGTCTTTTCATCATAAAGCCACCACGGGGTTCTTGCGCAAGAATTTGCAACAGGACCTGGCTGTAAACGTAAGTGTGCTGACCGTGGCACACCATCTTTGCGCACTCCTGTATACTTGACTGCCAGTTTTCAGTGTTCTCGAGGAATCCAGCGATTGCTGTTTTCAACACGCGTGAGAATACTTCAATCTGTTGTGCCGCGGTCGAAATACTAGTGATTTCCCCTTGATATCCGGCATCGGATATAAGCTTGATAGTGAAATTTAACATCAAGCAATCAGGATATTCCTCCGCAAGTCTATAAATAAGAGATCGCCAAGTAGGATGCGCGATCATTTCGGTCAACCAGGCGGGGGTTTCACCCTCCTCTGTAAAAATCTTATCTGCTTTCTTAGGATCGAAAGTTTTGAGGATCATGTCCTTCAAACTATTTTCCACCATTGCCTGCACATCGGTAACTTTTACCGCAGCGAGTATCAACCATTCTGCGAGGAGGTTTGCCATTTGTGCGCAAGCTGTGTAATTCTTGGACAATAATTCTATAACCTGTTCTGGATTTCCACCGGCTTGGAAGTATCTTTTAAGCTGGGCAAAAATTCCAGGCTCCATTATGTAATCGGGTGTTTTAAATTTATCCAGACATTCATTCAGGACCTCCTGTGGGTTGTCCAGTGTATCTTCGCCACTGTATTCATCGCTGTTTCGACCCATCTCATCGCGCCAACTACTATGATCTTCATCATAATCCATTGGCTCCATCTAGATGTTAATTATATTAACATTAGTATCGCTACATAGAAAATAAAACAATATATCATATAACACAAGAATACAAAATAAATAAAAATAAAATAGTGTATAAAATTAAGTTAAGTATAAATTACTTTATTTATTATATATCGTTACTAATGAAAAAAATAATGTTATTAAGTCATTAATGGAAGAAATAATTTGTAAAGGCATCAAATAACGTATTATTTCTCAACTCCACATTTATCAAAATGTAGTTCTACCGAGCATTTATAATAGGTTAGAGACGATAAATCACGGAAAATCGCGTATTTTCACCCAGATTTATTTTTATTTTCAAATGACTCACGACGTTTCGAATATGGAGGATACTCATTCGCAAAATATTATTATAAATTGTTACTCACTTCGATCACTAACTTAACGGACGTTTTCACTCGATCTTCCAACTGTGATGATGAGTAAGGAATGCCCGAGCTTCCGTTTTTATTTACTCGCAGCAACACAACGCGAGATGCTGACACGGCTAGCAATCATGGATATAAAAAATAACTAAACATCAATGGGTGCATTCAGAGCTATATTTGGAAACATTACACTGAGAGCAGAGTAGTTTAATTGACCAATCAGGACAAAAGGAACTAGTATTTTTTTCATCTTGATTGGTCAATTAAATGCTACTCTACCCATCGAGCAGGGTTTCGGAACACAATCTTGCAAACTGCTTTCTCCGCTGAACGCAACCAATCACTGACTTATTGATCGCATTTGCTCTGCTAAACGCAGCCATTGAATTGAAACTTGGCCAATCAGAGCAAAATTCACTCAACTTGAGTTTAATTAACTTTATTGAGCCCGTATCGGACTATGAATTGAAGATTGAGATTGAATTGAAATTTGACCAATTAGTACAAAGTTTACTAAATTTCACTAAACTTGAGTTCAGTTAACTTTGTACCTATTAGTCACATTTAAAGCCAGCGGCACACGGTGCTCGTTGTGCTGGTTTGCTCGCTGGATAGAAATACCGCGTTCTGATTGGTGCATTTTCGAAAATGAATAGAAATACGCCAATCAGAACGCAATATTTCTATCCAGCGAGCAATCCAGCACGAAAACAAGTACTGTGTGCCGTCGGCTTAATTTAATCTCAATCCCCAATCCATAGTCTGATACGGGCTTAAGATTGGACTGAAATTTCAATCCAATTTCAATCCTAACTGTAGTTTGATACGGGCTTCATTTACGATCTACGATAGGTGTAATAAGCTTTAAGCCGTGAAGACTTGAGCAATCACAGTCGAATTACAGGAAAAGAGTCAATTACGATTGGTCAATTTCTTATGGAAAAGCAGTACGCTCATTGGATATCACTCGTGAGTTACGTACACGAATAGTTTACGAATGATTCAAGAATCGAGAAACATCTAGAACATTCCTCCGGACAGCTCACGATTACGCGTCCGTTGAATGACGACGGCGCTGCCGTCGGCCGCCTACGACGAGAGGGAAGAGACGTTGTGTGTCACGTGGGCAAGCGCATCGAGCGTGATTCGAGAGTGGCCTACTGGCGCCCTGGTGGCGGTCTTTGGGGCCGAGCGCGGCCATATTATCTCTCGTGGCCGTCGTCGCAAAGAAAGCAAGAAGGTGGTGCGGTGCTCGGACAGTGACGTTTTCCCGACGAAGGCGATGTACGTGGTTGCAGACCCGCGCGTGGCAATCGTCGAGCAGTGAGCAGCGGCTAGCATGGCCAAGGGAAGCGGCAATCCGGCCGGCAAGCAGCCATCGTCGCGCAACTCGAAGCCCTACGATGCGAACAACGTGAGTAGTCTCGCCTCGGCGCGAGACCCGCGCGGCGTGAGCGAGCTCGCGGGCCCCACGACGCCGTCCCTCCCGCTCGGCAACGTCCCCGAGCCGATACGGCGATCATGCCAGCGTAGAACACCGATTCCCCGCCGCAAGGCATCCCGCATGCCCGCCCTATCCCTGCGACGTCCCTCCGTCAAGTATCTACGGTGTCACGGTGGTTATGTGAGTGTGCCCGATAACCTCAATCTCTCTCTCTTTCTCTCTGCACCCACCGTGCACACGGTGATCGTGCACGCGTGTGCTGCTACCCGTGTGTGTTGTTACGCGCGTCAAAACGCGCCTCTTTCCGGCGGGTACGTGCGTTTCAACGAAAGCTCGAACACGAGCACACTCCTCCATGGAGCCAGGCTCCTCGGCGCGAAAATCACGAATCATATTCCTCTCTGCCTCTCCTCTCTTTCTCTCGCTCATCCACTTCCCCTCTCTCTCTCTCTCTCTCTCTCTTTCTCCTTCTCTCTCTCTCTTTCTCTCTCTCTTTCTCTCTCGCGCGCGCCCCTTAGCTAATGTCGTGCGCCAAACGCGTCACGCGCTCTGCGTAGGTCTTCGTGTGTGAGCTCTCATAGTACATTACCGCTTCGCGCTGAAATAGACTGGTCTCGAATGCTTCATACAACGTGATCCAAGCATTGTCAAAGTCGGAGGAATGGAATTCATATTGCCTTCCTCTATATCGTAATATAACGTAACTTGAAATTGAGTCGGAGAAACTAAACGAAATTTCGCATGATTGTTACATGTTCCTTGTGTGTGGGAATTAGTGACGGAATTCAGTGAAGTATGTATTTATGTGATCAATATTACTAAGATTTATTTTAAAATGTATCTATAAGCACTGTTAATTTAGTAAGTATCAAGTTTTTTTGAAAATAACATTTAGATAATACTTATCATCATATGTATGATAATACTTATCATATATACAATAAATAGCACAGAAGTTTCATAGGCTGGCATTCATAGTCAGATTCTTATGTTTAAAACTGCTTAAGTTCGTCTTAAGATGCTTTATAGCCAATGAAATAAGCTGTACAACACCTGAAGATGAACTTAAGATGGTTTTATACATAAGGTCTGACTATAGATACCGACCTAAGTTCTTATGATACTTGTATGCAATTCCTCAAGATTACTACTTTTCAAGCTTGTCGTATAAAATTTCAACTTATTTTAATAGAATCTCTTTTATCTATTATCTATTATTAAATTTGATTACTATTATCTTTATAGGTATTAAAAATCCTAACACATTTACCCTCTAATATTTTGATGTTGTCACAGAAGTGATAAACTTAACAACAGTGGAGATACTCGCCTATAATTTCCAGAAAAATGTTTTCGCTCCAAAGAGATTCGTATACTAATTTCCAGATATTATTTTTGATTTTATTAACAATGTGCTTAAGATAGTATGATAATGCTGAATCGATTTGGGCTTAATTTGTGTTGTTATATAATTATTTATTATGAATATTTAATTGTGCTGTTATATAATTATTTATTATATATATTATACATATTGGTACGTTTTTATTTTTCACAGTCGTTTGTAAAAAAAGTGGCGACCAAGGTAACAGATTTTATACCCCAACGATCATGGATTAGTAAGTGGTTCAATACCTCTCAAGGTAGCGAGGATACGTTAGACGTTAGAGAGAATCCTGAAGAATCAGAATTCATAGATGATGTGCAGCAACCTCCTCCTAGTAAGCGACCGCGTATTCGTATGGATGTGATTCATCCACCTGGTACATTTTTTATACAACCAAGGAGTAAAATCGCATTGAACACGATTGATCCCTCTAAGAAGCAATACTCTGTTCAGAATGAAACGGTAAGCTGAATGTTTGGACGATTAAACACTGGTAGATAGAGACAAGTTTTCACATTTTGCTTATTAAAACTTGCCACAGTCGGATGATTTCTTGGAACCTGCAACGGCTGGGCCAAGCGGAATAGGCCGCTTAATATCTTCGACACCTGCGATACAAGCAGACATTAGGACCGTGACGTCTCATAGGTCGGACTTAAATTCTCCACCAACCAATAACGGGACAGCAAATGGGTTGGATGATCATTCGGAATCAAGCGAAAGCACCAGTGGATGCAGCTCGCTTACTCCACAAACGAACAGACACGAAGGCCCATCAAATTTGCTGCAACAAATTTATAATTCATCGTTTTCCAGTAGAAAGACACATATTGGTGATAAATTGACATTTAGTACGTACAGATCATACGAATTACTTAAGTGGACACATAGGGTGAGGTTATAATAAATATTACTTCGAATATTTGTAAAAAATAAAAATATTTTATTGACGATCATGTAAAGATGAAAAGTTTACGTTTACAGACGTTCGAAGTAATGATCAAATAATAGTGTCAATGTAATCTCTGTTAAATAAGTTCGAAGATATTCAAGGTGGTAACGGTTATTATTGCCTCACCCTGTATAAACCACTAAAGTTCGGCATAATCGAAATTCAGCATCAGATATTAAACTTAAAAAAAACACAACGCTGGCCGAATAATAACAGGTTGTGTAAATTCTCTTTTTTTTTTTTTTTCAGCTAATCACTTACAATCCCCGAGGTCCTTGTTTCTAGATAGTAATTCCCGTGATACTTTAAGCAGTCGTAGACCGAGTTTTAACGCATCAGTTATGACAAATGCGCTAGGTCGCGCATCTCCTCTGTCCTCCCCTTTTTACAGTGGTAATACCACTTTCGGGGGTGCAAATGCGGCAGGCCTTTACAAACGAGGCCGTAACGTTTTTAGCGATTCAAGTGAGGTACGTATCTCAATTGTTACTTGAGAGAAAAAATTACTCATTCTGCAGCAGTTTGAGCAAAAATTGTTCATTATTAATGAACGATCGAGTTACGTCAATTCGTAATATGTTGATTTTAGTTGCAACTTAAAGTACCAAGGAGAACGAATGTTGAGGTTAAACCTTCTAATACAGTAGAGGTTGATTCATCAGGAATGAGTCAAACTGCCAAGAAAATATTGGAAGCATTAGAACATTTCTCGTCGCCTATATCCGACGCGAAAAGAATCCCAATGAGGAACGCGGACAACGCGTCGCCGTTAATGAGTAGGAAGAGAGCGCGAGAAGAGGCAGCAGCGACTCCATCCGCCAGGGTCGGTTTGCGTCATTTGACGCGCGAGTTGACGGTACCAACCGTTCCCGACATATTGAAGTTGAGGAGACGACAGAAGTTACAGGACACAACTCTCGCGGCTAGGAAAATAGTTTCTGCGCGCGGCGAACCACCTCCGCCTGCACAGGAATATCACCTGAGGTATATTTTACAAATTTTCATGTACATGTGTTTTCTAAATACACTTTCGTGTACAGTGGTGGACAAAAAGATTGTTACATTTTTTTTTTTGTTATGATTTTTACAACGTATTTCGTATCCAACAGGAGAATGTATCTCCTGAGAACAACTAAGAAATTCTCCTATTGGACACGGGATGCGTTCCGAAACTTATTCAGGCAGAACAAATTTCTGAGATGTCTCNTTTTTTTTTTTTTTTTTTTTTTTTTTTAGATATCTCCGATATTTTAAACCTGCTGTTCTGTTCAGGTTTATTTGACCCGAGATTACTTTTATTTTTTTGTTACATTTTTGTGATTTTATGTAATTTGAGTGAGCATTCTGGCGTTTCATGACTTTGTTTCATAGCTCAGGAAGATTGATTTGAAACTAAGCTATGAAACAAAGTCATGAAGTGCCAGAACGCTCACTCATACACGTACAAATGTAATAGGAAGATAAAAATGAACAGAACCACAGGATTAAGAGGCCTTTTGGAAATTTGTTCCGCCTGGGGTATCCAAAAAGAGTGTCACAACTCTCCTGACTACCACTGTACATCTACATCTGCCTTTCTACTTGCGGAAGGTAAAAGTTAATATTTAAATCTTGAGTTTGTTCTTCTCCTCAGAACGGAGGACGACGATCGAGAAAAGTACCACGGCAAGATAAGGGGCAAGTCCAAGATAAATCTGGAAGAAGAGGAAACAGTGGAACCCGTGAATTTACCGAACATACCATTGCCGATATCGACGTTGCCCAACTTCACCTTCACGCTACCTCCTCCTCCGCACACCACAATCAAGGCTACGACAAGCCAGGAGAGCACGTTCAAGTTCGCCAGTCCGATTAAAGTGACGGATGCTGGGAAGAATTTGCAGTCTTGCAATCATTACACTTTCAGCAATCCGATCAACGCCGAAGACAACGCGAGCAGCGTTGCATCTGACTCGAGCTTGCCTCCGAAAACGGAATACGCAGCGTTCGCCGCATCTCCCGAGCGTACGGCCGCGTCTATGCCGAATTTCATTTGGTCCGGCTCGTCCACGGCACCTAGGTTGAAGGAAAAGGCGAAGGGCGGCAAGGACGGCACTGTCGAGCTGAAGTCCGGTAGTGTCATACACGTATTCTTTCCCAAATCGAACAACGCGGAGTCCAACGCGGGGGGAGTATTTCCTGAAATCGCTCACACCGACAAGACGTCCGGCTTCAACACGGATGTGAAGAGCGCGCGCGACGCCGATCCCTTCGGCTCGGTCAGCAGCACCGCGACGCCTGCATCCAATTGGGAGTGTAGTGAATGCCTGATCAGGAACAGTGGCTCGGACAAACAGTGCATCGCGTGTAAGGCTGCCCGGGCCAACCCCAACGATAAAGTCCCGGCGCCTCCGTCGACGGCCGACACGGTCGCGAAAGCGAAGCCAGTCGCGAACAAGGACTGCTTCGGCTCTCATTTCAAGCTGTCCACCAACGAATGGGAATGCGCAGCTTGCTACGTGAGGAACAAGCAGAACGACGTCAACTGCGTGGCGTGCACTGCCGCGAAACCAGGCGACAAGCCCGCCGCACAACAGACGGTGCCGGCCAAGTGTCAGAAATCCGATCTGATGGAGAAGTTCAAGCCGGCCGAGGGCTCGTGGGAGTGCTCCGGCTGCTTGCTGAGAAACAACGCGAACGTCATCACGTGTCCCTGCTGCAACACATCCAAGCCCACTCCGATGAAAGTGAGCTCGGCCAAGACGGACGCTGCCGTGGAGTCTTCCGCTCCGAAGCTGACTGCCGCGGAGGGTGCGCCGACGGAAGCCGGCAATTCCGACTTAATGAACAAATTCAAGGATTCCTGGGAGTGTCCTGGGTGTCTCGTAACAAACAGCGGCTCCCTCGGCACCTGCCTGTACTGCTATACCGCTAAGCCTGGCGGCGGCCCAAGCAAGCCGGAGCAAGCGTCGACAACCAACGGTTTCGGGGACAAGTTCAAGAAGCCCGAGGGCGCGTGGATCTGCGACTCCTGCCTGTTGCAGAACAACGCGAAGCACACGGAGTGCGTGGCCTGCCAGGCTGCGAAGCCCGGCACCGCAAAGCCGAGCGAACCCGCGTCCAGCACCGGCGGCTCGACCTTGCAGTTCAAGTTCACCGTGCCGCCCAGCAGCGGAGGATTCAAGTTCGGCATAGACAAAGCCGACAGCCAAGCCAAACCCGACACCGCGTCGCCCTTGAACGGATTCAAGTTCGGCAACGTGCAGCAGAACAGCGGCACGGCGCAGTTCACCTTCGGCATTCCCAAGGAAGAGACCAAGACCGGCGTCGTAACGTCCTCCGGCGGTAGCGGGTTCCAATTCAGCGTGAAAGCCGACAAAACCGACGCTAAAGCGGATCAGGAGGCGAAAGATTCGCCCTTCGGCGCGCCGAAGAGCGACGGTTCGTCGAGCAAGCAACAACCGTTCGCCAGCAGCGGCGTGCCAAGCCCGGCTCCTTCTTTCACGTTCGGCGGCCAGAAGACGGTGTTTAGCCAGCCTTCCTCGAACAAGCAGAAGGCTCCCCTCGCGACGACCGCCGCGGCAGAAAGCCCCAAGGCAACGGTGGCAGCGGGTGAATCAACAGCGATCAGCGGGGCGACCCTGCCGCCGTTAGCAACACCGTTAGCCAAGCAAGACTACGCGTCGCAAAGCGACGCGAGACCGATCTTCTCGTTCGGCGTACCGAGCAGTACGAGTGCTGCCAACAGCAACACTTCCACCGCCAGTACAACGACCACTTGTCTTCCAACTTTTGCTCAACCTTCTCTGACATTCTCCGACTCGCCGAAGACGACACCTCAGGCAGCGGTGCCGAGCTTCGGCCAGGCCGCGACGTCGTCTCCGGCGAGCCTGCCGTTCGGCGAGAGCAAGATAGCCGAGGCGACTCCTCCGCCATCCTCCGACAAAGCCTCCGTGACCGACGCACCGGCCTTCCCGATCGTCTCGAGCTCCACGTCGTTGTTCAACAGTAACGACTCGAAGGCGCCGATTACGTTCGGACAGGCGGACAAGCCGACGGTGTTCAGTGCCGGCACCGAGAGCACCGGCGCTGGCAAGCCGCCGGCCTACTCGGCGCCCGAGACAAAGATCCCGGTGTTCAGCGCCGGCACCGAGAGCAAGTCGATCTTCGGCACGCAGGAGACGAAGTTACCCGTGTTCGGCAGCGGCGAGAAGACGGCGTCTGTATTCAACTCGCCCGGGCAAGCAGCACCTACGGTGATGGGTGGCCGGTTCGACTCGACCAGCTCTATTATCCTGCCCTTCGGCTCGTCCAACAGCTCGACCTTCGACAACAACGCCGGCACGCCCGCATTCGGCGACACTACGGCGCCCGGCATGTTCTCCTCCACCAAGGACGAGAGCAACGCGTCGACCTTGGCGCCTATACCCGCGTTCGGCTCGAACCAGTCGGCGCCGCAGCAGCAGCCGGCGAGCAGCGCCGGCTTCAACTTCTCCGCGAACACCAATCCGCCGAAGTCGGGCGCGAAGCAGCAGCAGCCGCTCTTCGTGTTCGGCGGCGCCAATTCGAACGCACCGTCGAGCAGCGGTATATTCGGCAACAACACCTTCGCCAGCCTGGCACCGACGAATACTGCCAATTTCACGTTCAACACGTTCAAGCAGCAAGAGACACCGCCGCCGTTCAGACAGACTTCAGTGGCGACCCCGATGTTCGGCGCCAATCCGCAGACTCAAGCGACGCCGTCGTTCCTGTCCACCTCCTCACGCAATGCGGGATTCAACTTCGGACCCACCGCCCCGCCACCAGCACCGTCGAGAGGCTTCTTCGGTGGCATGGTAAATCTGTATATCTCTCGCTTAAAGCGGGGTCTACGATGAGAATTGAAGCTCTTAGCCTTATGAAATTGACCAATCATAGTTTTAGATTATTCTACTCGCGTTCGACGTGATTGGTCAATTTCTTAAGGCTTACGGCTTAAAGCATCTATTGCAGACTTAGGACTTAGGTGTTCAGTCAGTCACGATATAAGATTGCGACACTTTTTTTCTGACGAGTCTCGCAACGCATTTTGTGTCCGATAGAAAATTTCCTGAAAATTATTAAAAGAGAAATTCTCCTATTTGACGCGAGATTCCGAGATTTATCAATAAATGTTTCTTGCAACCTTTTGGCGTGTGACTGATCATACAGTGGGATGTAAAACGGTTTGGACGCGGCTAAGTTCAAAGAGCAGCTGATCCAATGAGAGAATTTATTTTTGACTAATTTGTTCTCTCATTGGACTATCGGCTGTGCCCTGAACTTAGAAGCGTCCAAATTATTTTGCTCCCCATTAGGTCTGTTCTTTTTTCGCTGAACTGATGTACACTCATAGAATTTAAAAAGAAATAGATGCACAATATTAAGACTTGGTGTAAAAAAGAGGAGAAGAAAATTAACCTAAACTGGTGCAGTTCAACGAAAAAGAACAGACATATTCTATTAGAAAATTTAAATATTGACTGGATAATTTTATATTAAGTCAACGAACAAAGACGTAGAAAACACTATACGGAGAAAAAGATTTCTTTGGATTTAGTATATATATTTGTTTGACACTTGGGTTTATTAATATAAACAATATAATTTAATACCAAATATTATTTCTTTTGAATGAAAATGTTATTTCACTCGAGTAAACCATGTTGTTTGATAAAAAATACAGTATTATTTAGAGAAAATATTCCATTCTTGGAAAAAAAAAAACGTTTCAATTATATATTAAATATTAACCCTTATCGGTCGTACGTCACGTAGGAGGTGACAAGTTCGCATATTTACCGAAACCAGCTACAACCTAGTGAGAATCACGCATAAAAAGCTAGCGTCCGATAAGGGTTAAATATTGTTCTACTGAAACAAAAAAAAGTTCTAATATTTTTCTAGCACAATGTGTTACTTCTTTCAAATAATTTATCGCTTGCGACAACCATTTTAATGTTTCTGATGAAAATACAAAAGAAATATATTATTTGACGTGAAAATATTTATTGTTTGAGAAACCAAACAGTCTTGTTTGTCGAATCAAACTTTCATTCGCATGTTTTATTCCAAAAGACAAATTTGTTTCAATTGAAAAAATTAAATCCATAGAAATTCCTTTTCTCTGTGTATCGGACACGGGACACGTTCCGAAATTGACCGAAAACGAAATGTTGCAACTTGTTTATGCCTGACTATATTCGTTAAACGAGAATCGTCTCACTCTTCTTTCGTGTGAAACGAGGTGTCATACTGCTGACTGATAACGTCGTAATGTTACAGTCACCCACGTCCGCACCGATTGGAAGATTCAACTTCAATCCTCCCGCTTCTGCTCCCACAGTGGCTTTCGACCCCAACAGCCGGCCTTCGTTCAACTTCACGAAAGGAAGCGCGCCGACCGCATTCAAGTAAGTACAGAGTAACCAGAAATTGGGTTTTTATATTTTGCCAGTTCTCGTGTGCGCGTGCAAAATATGGGATGGAAACGAGCCCTCTCTGCTTATTTTGCAGCGCACCGCCTCAACCAGCGACTGCGCCGCGGAAAATCAAAAAAGCGTATCGACGATGCTTGCGGTAGAGAGAAAGAGAGAGAGAGTGAGAGAGAGAGAGAGAGAGAGAGAGAGAGAGAGAGAGAGAGAGAGAGAGCATATAACGTACAAGATTCGCGCATGTATTCTGGTGCGTCTTTACATCTATCTATGCATCCGTGTATCTGGACGTGTCTCCCCGTTATGTCTCTCCGTCTTAGGTGGTACAATGGAAAACTGTCACACACAACACGTCAATCTCGATCGCATCAATGTGGTGGTATACCAAGCATCTTTGTAATATAGTATAATCCGCTAACCGAACATGCTTGCGTACAGCCACTTGTGTTCTACAGGAACTGTAAATTATAAATTATTTAAATTATACAGTAATAATGAATAATATACACATGTGAAATTGGCATGAAGCCAGAAATATAATGCCGTGATGCAGTTGCATTACTGAGACCTTATCCCAAAAGCAGACGCGATACGTATGTACACCGACATGACGTACTCGAGATAACACACACATATTTGCCGAAGTCGGAAAGTACCTCGATTAAGAAAAAAAATAATGAGCACTTACGTGCAATCGAAGACAAAGGGAAAAAAATAGTGGGAGATTGACACCCCGCTCAGGTAAGTATAAGTCAGTTGCAGCTCGTAGCATTGTTGCTCGCAAGTGTGAACGTCGACGATTTGAAGAGGGTACAACTCGGAAGTGTTACAGTTACATAAACGTGTAATAATAATTCTTGAGCCTCACCTACAGGGCAGGTTAAATGGGAATATCGAAATTTCTTCGATCGCAATCGGATCCTGCGAACCGATTTTCTTGAGAGAAAGCATCTTGATTAAAGTGGTAAACGCGGTAAAAGAAGAGCGGGAAGAAAACGAATCCTTAATCTAAAAATAATTCACTTAGCACGTCTTCAGAACGTTAATTGAGTTGTCTTGAGATTGGGAATTTGTACTATAATCATATTTGTCCCTTTAAATCATATCATATTATTAGTTACATTAAAGAGACGAATATGATAATAGGGGGAAAAAAATTATCGACCACAAAATAATTGCACACTATAATGTATAATTTCGCTTTTTTTGTGCACATATTTTTTGTACATATATATAGATATGTGTGTGTGATGTATTCTTTTTCGTTTAATAACTGATTTCGCTTTATTATTCAAGAAAGACATTACATGATTCCGCACGTAATCGAATGATCATCTCGACGAGTTCGTGACAAAAAAGAAAGTCAGCCTAAGATACTTGTGTGACATCGTGACATTGCGAGCGTTGTGAACTGACTGTATATCAATAAAGTCCCACTACGTATATAGACATTAATTATATTTTAATTAGAATTCCGTGGGCAGCCCTACAATCTTTGTAGAACTAGTCCAGGAAAAGTGTAATATACACAAAAATGGCATTCGGATAGTACAAACTGACGATTACTGAACGTTTCCATTGAGTAGTCGAAATTGTATATTTTTTTTATATATCGAATGAAATAATCCTATAAGAGAATATATACTGAATGCCATTTTAATAGGATTAAATTATAATAATGTTGTGTGTTTTATCATAGAGAGTGAGTGAGATCAATTTGAAAAGTATGTTGAATGGAAGTAAATTATTAGGGGGCTTCTAAAAAGTTTCTTTCCGATATCCGCCGCTACGGATATAAATACTTCTTCTTACAAGTTTCTGGTAATAATTGTTTTCTTCATTTGCTGCATGGAAGAAATCGCTCTCTGGTCTGTCTTACAATTTTTGGTTCAAACTTTTGCTCCTGATTTTCGACATGATACAATTCGACGGAATAATTATTTCTATAATTACTCTATTCGTAATTGATATTAATTTGTGCAGCTTGAGTCACCGGGAAACCGAGCTGCAGCTGAAATACTGTAAATTATTCTTTTTAGAAGCCCCTATAAAGGCGGAAAGTAGTTAGATGACGTGTATTAATGATTAACGAATCATTATTGAATCATACACGTCTTATTTAAGATTAGGATAGTTGTCTATAATGTTGGCTTAAACTCGACAGTAGCCAAGAATAACTCGGCACATGACCCATCTTCTGCCATAGTAGACACTTAGGTACAAAACACTTTGTTAGGCATTGTTGCTTATCCGTTGTTGTGTAATATTTACGTTAAGTAAGCGTTAAGAGATATTTTTTCTTTTCTTTTTTTTTTTTAAGTTCTGTACACATTATTGCAAGACAAAAATCCATATAATTTAGTTTCCATGTTGAACACTTATATTTTTAACATTGTCAAAATACCCTTTGTAGGTATATTTCTCATTTAAGATGTAAACAGTGTGTTGATTAAATACGTAACGCTAGCGTATGGGTGATTTGAAGAAAAAAAAAAAAACTCTGTGATGCAGGCATACGCGAATGCTAATTGAGCGTATGCCGACAAATAGCGCCGACTTTAAAAATTAATTCGCATAGATGAAATTACTTTAGTTCTTAAGCAAGGCCCATACCCGAAAACCTACAAAGGATCTTTTGGACGTAACTGTGTAATCGACGAAACTTTGTTTTATGCGATTTGCGAGGAAAAGAACACGAAGAAAAAGAAAAAAAATTAATGGTAAAGGGAGGCTGCGCTGAGATATTGTCTGTGCTGCTGTCTTACACTGTGAACATTCTCTGTTGAGGCTGTGTCGTCCATTTGTCTATGAATAGACAAATTTCCAAATTAATCGATATATCGAGAGAGAGAGAGTACTGCCTGCTGAGGGCAGTATCTTTGTATTAAATTTCGTATATGGCCTTACCGACATACATAATGAACATGTAACGTAGATGTATTAACGACTGTAAAGCAAATCGTATTGGAGTTGTTTTGTAGCATTTTGTATACTCTCCATTGTAATATGTTCGCATAAACGTCTGAAGAGCACTGCATTAAAAATGTTCAACATCAATAGATTTGTAACATCCGATGACTGACAGTTTCTTTTTTTTTTTTTTTTTATATAATATTTTTCCATGCACACGTTTTACTTATGTAACGAAAAATCATTGGAGTGTAATGTTATATGTAAAAGCGCAGGTATATGTATATATAATATTACTCGCGCGGGCATACAAGATATTATTATAAACTCATTCTTTTACCTAAAATTAAGGGCATCTCTTTTACGTACGTTAACGGAAACGTCGAGGTTTACGAGACTCGTCTCCATGCGACATTTGTTTCTACGAGCCATGGGATGTTACAATATGTCAAATGTTCCGAGGCCTTATTATAATCTTAGTCCATTGGAGAAATTATGCATCGTACTGAATTTTTCTGAATATCTGTAACAATTCTATCGAGAATGATGTATTAAGCAATTATCTAACGAAGTTCAGAAATGTGGGAGTTTGTTATGAAATAAATCCAATGACTGACTGTAATTAAATAAAATGTACATGGGAGAATGTTCACTGTATGCTTCAGGTGCTATGAGGATGTCGGTACGTCCTCATACATATGATGTAACGTTAGTTAATATTAGAAGAAGATATAAAAAAATACCAATCGGTGTTTCTCAACCGATGAATCAACAGAACAAAATTCAAGAGATGTTTGTGTAGTAGTATATATGAAATGCGCAACACATACAAGGAAGGGCCATCTTTATTCGCACAAGGATCGACGAAATACGCTTAATGACGATTGAATAATATTCGTTCTTTGACGCACCGAAAGTGTATTTATACGTGAAATCCGTAAGCCGCAATTTCTTCCTTTAGATACATTATTATGAAATACCTCTGATTTCGCAGAATATGTAGATAAGACATCAATAATACTCGCAATAAAAATGATAATCTATGTAAAGGGAAAAATGGAATTCTTTTGTGGACCAGAAGCGCAAGGAACAATTGTATCTCAATGTCCCAACTCTCGTTAGGGTTGCTCTTTGATTCCTTTGTATCTTTTATTGAATTAAGGTGACATTGCCTTAATGAGTAGCGCTTGTGATATTTAACAAGAGCTACTTGAGCTTGTGTTGAGAAACACCGTGATAGGATACATTAACATTATTACGAATATTATTCTTAATACTATCCTCCTCTCTGTTTATCTGTAACAATTATATTATATACCATTAGAGGATATATAACAAATACTAATTAAAAAGAAAACGACGACGTTAATTGATTTGGGTTATATAGTCTTATTTTGTATCTAGAAGAGAAAAGTGAAGACTTTTTTTTTTCTCTGTAGGAGGACATTTAGCGAATGGCGGTTTGAACTGAAGAATTTTGCTATATTATGTGCACATATATATGTACATCAGCGTTATAAAAAAAAAATCGTTCTACTCTGATATGCGTGCGTGCGTGCGTGCGAAACAAAAAACGAAGTGAAATGTGCAGATCCATATTAAAATCCTTTGGGTCAAAAAGTAATCTAGAAACAGACAGTTAGGATACATAATTCGATCGCAGTCCCTAATGTTCAGACAAAATGTAATATTTTATAAATATGTTCTCCTTTATTTTTTATTTTAATCCTGTAAGTAGTAGGATCGCTCCTTGACAGTTCCTCAAAGAAATATACAAAATAAGAAATCTATACTGTGAATTATTGTATGACGTTCGTGGTTTTCGAGACCCTAAATTGTATACAATATATTATACATATACATGTATAGATAATCGCTTTGCAAGCCACACTGCAACGATCCGTTTTCGAAAGATCAGGTTGATTTTCCACGGTATGCTACGTAAAAAACAACTTCTCTTTGAGTATTTTCAGTAGAGTGCGAATGATTTTAATGCTCCTTCCATCTCTTGCAGTAATATCACTCAAATAAATAAGTTAAAGTGAAATGTTCGAAATACCTCATTAAAGGATTCCTTATATATAACTCCTTAAATAACTATTACACGACCTGCGATTGTTATTGATTATTCTATATACAACATTACGTTTATTCGATATGTTAGACTTATAGGTATATCGGAATAGCTCGTAAACACGTACTTGTTTCATCATTTGACACAGTTGTATAGGGAATTATGAATGAAATAAAAAATATGAGTTCTCTGTAATTATGTATAATATAAAAAATGCATATTTTTATTTTAGATCCACAATTTCGATACAATAGGTGTTCTTACTAACTCAAAAAGCTCGCCATGCATAAAAGTTGCTTTTCGTTTGTAAATGATAGTACTCTCTCTCTCTCTCTCTCTCTCTCTCTCTTTCTCTCCCTCTCTCTCCCTCCCTCTCACTCTGATTTTGCTATTTACATACTATAAATTAAACGATGGCCATTTAAGTTAATCTAAAAGTTTCGTCACTGCTATGCTTTTTAATTATAATGCGATGTAAATAGGAGAGCATGTATAACAATATATCGATACTTGCTCAACAATGATACATTCTACTACGTTGAGAAACCCTGTGATAAAATGATTGGAGATCAAACACAAATCTGAATATAGAACATACATATTCCCGTCTCGTGTTCAATATATATTTCCTTCAATATAAGTTTCCTAAAGCGATGTTCAACGAGAAAATTCGGGAGATTAGGTAAGTGAGACTATGGCGATAAAGAACTGTGTTAAAAACTTGTGGCACGAATTTTATTCCGAGATTTACAACGAAAATGTTTCAACTAGTTAAAATGCCGCTTAATCTTGGGATATGAAACATTGACACGTATAACATAGGTAATACAAGACGATGTGGACAATTCAGATATACAATTCAGTAGTTTGCATTGAACTGATAAAATTGATTCGTTCTCTATTCATGTAGTGTTGTGTCTGCGACTTGGATAGGCCTGCTGTGCTTCTCAGAGAGGTGTGTATTCGCTAATTAATTAATTAATTAATTCTTAAGACTTCATTGGCTGACAAGTTCCAACAGCCGATCCTCTCTGAGCAGCCCATGTTCTTTCGCTATTATATCTCTCTCTCACTTCTATTACGATATTATAATTTAGGTACAATCTTAATTATTCAATATTAATGAGAATATTAATAACCATGTTTTATTTTTGCTTGAATTAATTATAGACTGTAATTATAATTATTTTATAAAGTTTTTCTTACACTAAGAATCATCAGACATGAAGGAATTTTGGGATTTTAACTCCTCCAGCGTTTTAATTTGTTGACGGAGGAATAATATCCTAAAATATCAAGCAGATCAATGAGACATTGGAAAATGAGAGAGACAGATGTTTTACATAATGAATTTCACAACGAGCTTATGTGAAATATTTTACGAGATTTAACAAGAAATGTAAATGTAATGTGACACACTTACCTTTGTTCCTGCAACGTTGCCTGGATTTCTGTCAGCCTCACTATCGATCGTGCCGTTTTCAATTCTGCGGACACTCTCGTACACTGTAAACTGCTCATTGTGTGTGCTTCTTCACTAAGTTTCTGTGCCTACACATACGCATTATTTCACGTAAGATATCATCCACTGGGACCGGCAACGAGCCGCAGACATCCGAGGCATCAGTTTCACCCACCTGTTTTTCGAGAATATCAGCGGGAAAGGCACGCACATGCTGCGTTAAATCTTCCCGATAATGATTAGCGAGCGACGGTGTTAAAGAAGGTGTTAAAGGAGGCTGTACTCGAGACAATGCTTGTAAACCTCCAGTGTTACTTAAGTTCCCGAGGGAGCCCAATGTGCTCAAGCTTTGTAATGAACTAAGACCTTGGACTCCAGAATTCGTTCCCCCAGGACTCGTTACTGTAAAAATAGATAAACACAAAATGCATACATACATACGTATACCTATGTATTTGATGACAAAAATAATCGAGACGAATGGGAATGAAGGGTCTTGTTCTTAATAGACTCTAATATAACAATTAATTTTAACACTGATATATACTACAACACGACACTGTAACTGTGTATTGTCTTTTAATAATCTTTACCTTCTACTGTATTATATTGTGTTGTGCTGTATATATATTACACTTGTGTGCTTTATATTAAGTAATGAATTTGACCGAATTAATAAACTAATAACTGATTAATGGCTATGTTCAAAAAACACAAGCGAGCAGTCGATGATTATTAGTCTTTACTGTCCCCTAAATTTAGACCAATTATGTTGACGAATCACTCAACCGTTGTGTTTCCTGAACGCAATCAATCTCATGTTTGTACGATCGGAATAAATATACGTTAAGCAAAACAACGAGTACAAGTACTCACGTTTCCGCGCATCAATGCAATCTTGAGTTTCTGAATGCGTGGGCGTTGGTGGACCCTCACTAGTAGTATTGCCACTTGTATCAACTTTTAGCGGGACCATCACATCGTTTCCGCTATTATTTCGGTCTCCACTAACGGACTGCTGTGAAGAGAAAGAGCGGGTGAAGTTACGACTGCCGTTCTGCACGTGTAAAACTTATCTCTGCGCCTAGCAATGCAAAACATCTTCGGCGAGTCGAACAACTTGGTGAACGATTCTTATTAGTCTATTTTCTCTTTCGCTTTGACTGAATGCCTACGTATAATTATCTACACACACATGTTTCAACACACGCACTCTTACTTGTCGGGATAACAAGATGGCTGTTTGAATTGTCTGTAACGCCTTCTGCGGCGTGATGTCGGGCTGTTCTTTGCTGCCCGTGATTTGAGATAGAAGTTTGGGGAGGCTAGCCAGTGACACCGGTGGTCCTGGTGCGTTGCTGTTCCCTTGTTGCTGCGTAGGTGAATTGAGTTTCCCGGGCGCCTGCGCCGTCGATGGTGGATGTGATGTTAATCGAGGTAATGCTAAAGGAAGATCGAGATCAGCGTCAATCGGAAATGTGACCCGATGATGTGCCGAATCTTCGAGGATTCTTCCCTCAAGCCTCTACGTACCAGTGGCCAAGAGAACAGGGCCCTGTGGCAGTGGATCATGAGCGGATGTCAAGGGCTCCGAAGTAGGTGTGGAATCGCCCGGCGAGATGTCCATGTCCTGAGCTTGACGCTCCACTCCGACTTCCTCTCTAGAAGATTCTCTCTCCCGCTCGCGCTCTCGCTCTCTCTCCCGCTCCTTCTCCCTATCCCTTTCTCTTTCCCTCGTGGACACGTCCTCCCTGCTACTGCTCCCGCCACTTCCGCCACATGAGCTCCAATATTCTCGCTTGTCCGACTGTCGCGACGATTTACCATCTCGCATACTGCTACTGCTATTTGATCGCGAGTTGGAATGTTTATCATGACCTGCCCGAGAAAACATGAGAACTGTGTGAAGGGAGCTGTGACTTGTACTTGTTTCATTCATGAGATGCGAGACGATGAATTCACCAAGCCTCGGAAGTGCCATCAATGGATGTCTTTCTTAAGGATCCTGGGTCCTCTCTCTATGGCCGTCCTTCTTTGACGACGTTAAATCGAGCGAGAAATCGTACGCCAAAATATATTGCGGTGTATGTGGAGATAAAAGAAAATACAAAATGACACTCGTGATCGATTCGGCACATTTGTAAAAATATCCGAACGTTTTTCTTCGATCCAGCAGAAAATAGCCGAGAATTAGTGCAACATACAACTTGTGTTTTTAACCGATCTTTCCTCATGATTTCTGTTACGTTAATTTTACGGCTATTTATTGATTGTTTAGGTTAAGGGAAAACGCCCGGACATTTTTGCAAGTGTACTGAATCGATCAGGAGTGCTACTTTGATAATATATTCTTTTATCTTCACGGTTACCGCAATATATTAGCATACAATTTTTCACTTCTGACGTCATTAAACAAAGACAGCCAAAACGAGGATACAGGAGCCTCGAGTTCTTAGGGGGGGAAAAAAAACACCATGAAAATATATTCCGTTGTTGTTTAAATCAGTGAACAATGTACACGGTAAAAAATTTGTGTTAAGTTTAAGGCATTTCACGTGTTCCAAACGATCCACACAAATGTTTGTGTTAATTTAATACAAAGTGAATATCTTGAATGGTTATACAAATATTACGTAAAAAATTAACACAAAATTAATACGTTAATCGACATTGAAGCATAAAATATGTTATCTTAACACTTGCACATATTGAATATCGACACAACATAAACGTTGAGGTAATATAAACACAATGTGTTAAATTAGTACAAGGTTATATGTCAAAAATTTAACACAAAAATTTTAACAAAGACCAATTTTAACACAAGTACAAAATGTTTTTTACTGTGAGCGATTTAACCAATATACATATTCTAATATTAATATAACTAATATTAATAAGAATAAATAGAACTAAGAATTAAAAAAAAATATTAGTCCATCTTATAAAAAACATAATGTAAAATTTCAATTGTTAGCATCACGCAGGATGTCCTAGCATAAAGAGAACGCCTAAATATCTCCTTTATTTTTGATGATATGAGAAAT